AGACTTGAAGCACTTGCTGATGAAGATCAAGGATTGTAGCTTTCAGTCCGGATTACAACTCAGTGTAAGGAAGACCACAATCTCATCACGAGGCCAGTAGGTAACATGATGATCAATGGAGCAGTGGCTGAAGTTGGCAAGGATTTTGCCTTGCTCCTTGCGGGTTCCGCCCCGTTCAGTCCCCCAGCTCACCAGCCACACGATGACAGGGCTGTGGCCCATCTGTGCCGCGGCATGCAGCGGAGTCATGCCGTCGTGAGCGCGCAAGTGCGGGTCCGCCCCGCACTCCTGCACCAGGTACTGCGTCACCTCCAGGTGGCCCTCCTGGCACGCCAGGTACAGGGGCGTGGCACCATTCTTGGTTTGAGCATTCACTCCCCTGCGGAGATGCAGCCAGGTGGCTCTGGGACCTCAGCTCTTACTCGCCGCTCCTCAGTCCTTACACCCTCTGGCCCTTTCTGGGGCGCTGGAGGGCGTGGACCAGGGACTGGGGAGGGGCTGGCTTCCTGCCCCATGCCTCTCCCACTCCTCCTCTCCCTTGGGGAGACCATCCCAGTGGGTGCCCTCCTTTTGAAAATGCAAATCTTCCTGAGCCACTCGTCATTTTACACGGTCTCCAAGGGTCTTGGTGACTGGGCCTCCCTAAATTTTCTGCCCAGCGGTCCACTGCCGCTTTGAGTCTCAATATTGGAACATACTTCTATAAATAATAATAATATTTATTATTATCATCAAGTCAGTTCCGACTCCTAAGCAGCCCAGTCGGGCAGAGCAGACTGCTTCTTTAGAGCTTTATCTGAGCGTGCCTCATCTTTTTCCTGCAGAGCAGCTGGAGGATTAAAACTGCCAACCTTTTGGTTAGCAGCCCACCACCACCCAGGGCACCACCACTCGTAGGCCTGATTACCACTCTCATTCTGCAAAGCGACAAGTGAGGCTCAACTGCGTCTTGCCCACCTCACAGGCTCTCTGTGGCATCTGACTTTCTGTTACAGAGCCCGGCCCTTAGTCGGAGCTCAGGGAGTTGAACTGATACAATGAGGAGCAAGCTAGGTCCTGTCTCAGGGGTGTCCCTCAGGCCTAGCTTGGGGCGGACCTGATTGGGGAACGAGGAGCCAGCCCTTTGGCAGAGAATGCTGCAGGGGAACAGAGCCACTGGCCTGGGTATTGCCCTGAGCCTCCTGTTTGGTTTGCTCTGACTTCAAATAGGCACTTCAAAGGCGTGGCTTAGGAAGGGCACGTCCAGGGTGCAGTATCGGCATTTGCGCACCAGGTGGAGCCAAAATCTAGGCCCAGACTTCTGAGCGGCCCACCTTTCTCATCAAGCCAGAGAAGGGGAAGCGGGGGAGACACATCCTATTGGGTCCCGGGAAGGGCAACTTTTTTCTGATATCATATCCTCCCACCCACCTCCTTTTCTGCCGCGACCCACCCACTCAGTCACCCACAGTATCAATCACTGGCCTCACCCTGCTGGAGCTGGAGAGGAATATTGAAAGCATCACGGATGGTTAAAAGGACACATGGGTCTGGGAAGAAGTAAGGCTCCACAGAGGCAAGGATGGCAAGACTTCCTCTTACGTGCTTTGGATATGATGTCAGGAGAGAGCAGGACGCTTGGCACAGTGATATAGAGGATAGCCCTCCACGAGATGGATGGACACAGTGTGGCTGCTACGTGGGCTTGGGGGCAGGGGCAGTCCTAAGGATGTCCCAGGGCTGGACAGTGTTTCCTTCTGTTGCGCATTGGGTCGCTGTGAGTCAGCACCGACTTGATGACTTTCAACACCACCACCACCCTACCCTTTCATCACTTTCACTCCCTCACTCACCTGATTGCTGGCCTGGGGCCATCCCCCCCACCCAAGGCCACTTACCTCCTTAATTTCCCATTCAGCCACCACCTCCCTGCCTCTCTGTCCCTCGCAATCCTTCTTGGCCTACCCCCAACCCTGCCCTGGGCTTCTGGTTCCTCCACCCTTGGGTCTCTGTCCTCTTCCCTGGCCGCTTAACTGCCATGGCACCCAGACTCTGTCCTCTTCTTCCTCCCTGGCGTGGACCCTGCCCCTCACCAGGCCCCAGAGCTGGGCTGACTGTCGTGCCTCATCACATCCTTGTCCAAAGCAGGGCCCTCAGGAGCCACCCACACACTTCACCTCAGGCGCAGCCTGGCCCATGGCCACCGGTCTCCACAGCCCAGTGCCCGCGCCGCCCCTGCACACCCACCCCCCTGCTGCCACGTCACTAACAGTCTGTTCAATATTTCATGACCATCACACAGCCACCTGAATTATTCACCCCGTAACCAAGGCACAGGGAGTGCTGGGGTCCCGTGAGTCTGAGTCTGGAGGGGGCCACCCCTCAGGGTCTTGGGGCCCCCTCTCAGTATGGAGAACCCACCCTGCCTGCACTGGATTGACTGGTGTCTGTGCCCCAGAGATACCCAGCCAGCCTGCACCTGCGGAGGAGCAAGCACCCTGCGGGATTTGGGCCAGAAGGGGGCAGTGGTGGCCATCGCCTCTGGCCAGGGTACTGGCTAGCACTCTCACTCAGCCTGCTCCTGTCCCCACGCTGGTGCACAGCTAGCCCTCTGGAGTGACAGCAAGGAGCTGTGGAGACAGGGGGGCTCTAGGGGGAAATGAGACCACTCTGAGCCTGGAATGACAGTGGTCTCGTCTAATCGGGCTCATTCCTGACTACCACTTCCTGAGCACCTGCTCCGTGCCAGGCCCTGGGGCAAAGCTCTAAGCAGAGAGAGCGGACTCCAGCTGAGAGAGACCATTAGCAGAAAACGAGCTGCAGGGATTGACGGAAAACCCATAGAAATGTTTCAACTAGCTGAAGAAGCACTGGAAGCACCCACTTGCCTGAGCCAGGAACTTTGGAAGACAGCTACCTGGCCCCCAACTAGAGGAGATTCACAGCTGTGCCCATTCCAACAGAAAACTCAAACTAGAGGATAACATCACTGATTTCAAACACAAGTAAAATTTGGCGTAAGATCTTCCAACAACTGTCGCAGCAACACATTGGCAGGGAACTGCCAGTTCCAGGTAGATTCCGAAGGACGTAGAGCAAGGTCATCATTGCCGATGTCAGATGGATCTTGGTTGAAAGCAGAGAACACCAAAAGATGTTTACTTGTGTTTTATTGGCTATGCAAAGGCATTCCACTGTGTGGATCATAATAAACTGTGGATGACCTTGGGAAGAATAGGAATTCCAGAACACTTCATTGCGCTCAAGAGGAACTTGTCCATGGATCAAGAGGCAGTTGTGACACAGAGCAAGGGGACACTGCATGGTTTAAAATCAGGAAGGTGTGCATCAGAGTTGTGTCCTCTCACCATACTTGTTCAGTCTATATGCTGAGCCATCATCGGAGAAGCTGGATTCTCTGGAGAGCAGGGTGACATCAGGATGGGAGGAAGGGTCATGAACAACCTGCAGCATGCAGATGACCCGAACTTGCTGGCTGAAAGTGGGGGAAGACTTGAAGCACTTGCTGATGAAGATCAAGGATTGTAGCTTTCAGTCCGGATTACAACTCAGTGTAAGGAAGACCACAATCTCATCACGAGGCCAGTAGGTAACATGATGATCAATGGAGCAGTGGCTGAAGTTGGCAAGGATTTTGCCTTGCTTGGATCCACAGTGAACGCTCATGGAAGCAGCAGTCAAGAGAACAAAAGACATATTGCATTCGGTAAATCTGCTGCACAAGACCTCTCTCATGTGTTGAAAAGTAAGGTAAGGGTGTTAGTTTGGGACTGAGGTGCACCTGACTCAAACCCTGGTCTCCTCCATTGCATCATAGGCATGTGAAAGTCGGGCACCGAATCAGGAAGACTGTTGAAGAACCGATGCATTTGAATTGCGGCGCTGTGGAAGAATATAGATAGTACCAGGGACTGCTGAAAGGACAAACTGACCGGAGCTGGAAGAAGTCAGGCCAGAGTGCTCCTTAGAGGCCAGGAGGGCAAGACTTCATCTTCCAGACTTTGGACATCTTGTCAGGAGAGACCAGTCCCCGAGAAGGACATGTTTCTTTGGCTTGGTAAAGTGGAGAGGCCCTCGAGGAGATGGGTGGACACACGCTGCGGCAGTGGGCTCAGACATAAGCTCAGTTGTGAGGATGGTGCAGGCCCGTGTACTGTTTCATTCTGCTGTGCACGGGGTCGCGATGGCTCAGAGTTGACTTGATGGCACCAACAACGACTGTCATCGTGAGTAATCATAAGAGCAGCTGCTGTCTGGTGAACGTTTTCTCTCTGCCAAGAACCATAACGCGTACAACACCTGCATTCTCTCAGTCCGCCTCAGGATGAGCTCACCACAAAGGTGTGGGTCCTGCTCCCTTTTTACAAGACTACGGTCACCAGACCAAGGAAGGGGCCGACAGGATTCGAGCCTGAGTCTGTCTGACCACAGGGCCTGCTTTTGACGCTAACTGTGCATGTTGACATCCACTCCTGCCCTCTGTCCATCTGTAGGTCTGTGCTTCTACCCCCTGCCCTCCACCCCCACCCCTTGGTCCCACTGCAGAGACTAGACAAGATGTGTGCCTTTCATACATCTTGCCAGGACAAGCTGCCCAGAATCCGAGGAGCCTGCTTTGTGGAGGTATTCAGGCTGTGTGGGGTCAGGGGCCATGCAGGGAGTTACCAGAGGCCTCGGCTCTGCTTCGAAGGGTCCTGGTGTGAACCCAAGTTCTCCCATCATGTGCCATGTCCTCACTCCTATGCCTGAAGTGGGGTGCTCAGGACTAGAGAGGCCCTTGCACTGTACACAGTTTGGCACTTGGTCCGGCCGGGGGGAGGGCACAGTTTGAGTCTAGGATCCCCCCTCCCTGGGTCCTTAGAGGACCAGCTGTGGGTGGGGGACACTGCTAACCTGGATGGACATCCAGGAGGGGTACGGTCCTGGAGGGAGTCTCTGGACCTGGTCTACCATAGCAATGGGCACAGGGGAGCTTTCCAGGACCAAGCCCAGTCTCTGCCCAGCCCTCATGCTGCCCTTAGTGAGTTATTTAACCTGCCCACCCTTGGCTCCCTCATCTGGAGAATGGGCATCATAGTTGCCGCCGCTCGGTGGCCGCTAGTGAGGAAGGTGGAAAAGTGAAATATTTCCTCCGGCTGCCACCTTGTCCGGATCACTGTCCCCTCATCTGTCATCAGGCCTCGGCACCGCCACCTTGATGTGAGCACCTGGCAGTTTCTCTGTCCCCATCAGACTTGACCTCTCAGTGACAGGCAGCCCTGTCTGCAAATGCTGGCTTCTCCTGGCTTCAAGGCCAGGCACCCTCACCCGCCTGGCCTTTCTCAGCTTCCTTGGCGTGGCTGGCCTCTCACCCTCCACCCCGTCTCCAAATGTGGGGGT